TCTCTCTCTCTCTCTCTCTCTCTCTCTCTCTCTCTCTCTCTCTCTCTCTCTCTCTCTCAAGCGTAATTACAGCTCGCGTTACGCAAGACGAGCGAGGAAAAAGCAGAGACAATGTATGCATGTAGCTTTTAAGCGCAATTTCTCTGCTGGCCCGGCGTCGGTCAATTTGGAGAGATCTCTAATCCATGTTCACTAAGAAGGAAGGAAGGACGATGGATAACGATGACGTTCGTTTTTTTTTCATTTCGAAATTATTATAATGATCGATCGATCGTTTTCTCATCGATACGAATAATCTTACTTTTTGATAATTAATTTTGAAATTTGGAAATTCTTTTCTTTTTTTCTTTTTTTTTTCAAATTGTCGAGAATAATTTTAAATAAATTTTTCGTATTGTTTGCGTTACAACGGAAGGGTAGTTAAAAATTGATCGAATCACGAAAGGATAGAAGATCATTGAATTTCTTTTGGATTACACCGCACAATTATTTCTCAACTTCATTCATTTATCTTTCGCCGCTACCCTTTACGACTCCTCCGCAAAGAATGATTTCCCAAGAAGAACGCGTTACAAGCGATCATTTTTCACTTCTCGCGTGTCGTATTAATTTCTTTCGCGCCTCTTTTTTTTTATTTATCATCCACTTCCAACACTATTGTTTTCGTTTATATTTTTCGAATGCTTTTTATTATAATATTTCCAAACAAACGAGTAAAAAACAAAATTTTATTAAATTCCTCTAACTTATCGATCGATTTTCAAATAACCTCGAGATCGAAATGAGAGAATGATACATTCGAATTAATTTTATCCACTTCTAACACCATTACTTTCGTTTATATTTTTCCCACGCTTATTATACTTGCATCCAAGCAAACGAGTATTCGTTAGAAAAAAACGATACCTTATTTTCTTAAATTTCTCTAACTTATCGACCTAAACTTATTTTCGAAGCATAAAAATGATATGTTTGGATTAAATTTCGCGCGAAAACGGATGTTCAAAATTAACGAGAATCTCTATTGGCCAAGCTCGATTATTCGTGTTAAGTCTAATATAAATATAAGACAACAACGTTTCTTACTCTCTTGATTCTTCTATGATTCGTTTCACTTTCGTTCCTTCACGGTTTGGTCGATAAAAAAGAGACAAGTTTCGACGAAAGAGTCTCGAATGTTTCCACGACCTGTCAAAGGAGAAATTATCACATATTCGCGTAAAGAGTGGATCGTTCAACATGAGTAACATTGGGATTGGCTTGATTTCTTTTTTTTTTTTTGTTCTTCGATCGAGCGAGGTTTCGTTCGCGTTAATGCCATTCGAATGTCAAAGTGGAAGGTCACAGTAGCGCCAACGTAGAAATTAAATTCTCGAAAATATTGCGACTTATGCCTGGATTTATTTAACTTAAATTATTTGATTCACGTTTCGAATGAATTTTTCAGAAGGAAAGAACGATGATATATATAAAATCTCGTTAAAAATATATTTGTGCCCTGAATTGATCGCATTCGGAATCATTATCATCTTTTAATTAATCGATCAATCAATTAATTAATTAATTAAACATTCTCGATGCGCGAAATCGTTTCGATTTAAAAAAAAAAAGAAAAAAAAAATGAAGGGACGATGTATAATCACCGCGAATAACAAAATTGTAGATGTTGCGTATCGTGTAAAATCCTCCCCTCCCCGCCCTTTTGTGTCTCTGTCGGCGCTCTCATCGGCTTATAAAACGGCAAAACAATGGCGGAGAACGTCGAAACTCCATTACGGCTTTTCCTCGTGAAAAAAAAAAAAAAAAAAAAAAGTGAAAGCCTGGAAACAGCCTAGACACTCGCATTCCTGTTTGATAATACCGGCCATACGCGAGCAATCGATTTTCCGCTTTTCGACAACGGTCCGCCATCCCTTTGTCGCATGAAAATTTAATTGAAAAACCGAGGGATCTCGTTTCCGCGAAAACTTTCTTCCTCTCTCTCTTTCTTTCTTTCGAGATCTTTTCCCGAACGATAAAAAAATCGCGAAAACGTGAACAAGATTTAACCGAGTTTTGTTTCTTTAGTTCTTTAGTTTGAAACTCTCTCAATGACGTTTATCGTTTATCGGCTTTCGAATTCGACTTGAGATTCCGATCGGTCGGTAATAATGTCTAGAGCATTGAATATTAATAGTATTTAACATATTATTTAATAGTGGTATTTCGATATGGATAGTTGTTTCTTGGAAGGAAAACGTGAAATTAATTTATCTACCTATAAAAGAGATAGAATTTGTTTTGATTAAAAATCGAATAAAAATTTACCGAGTTTTTTTTTTTATCTTGGAACTGTCTCCATGAAGTTGATCGATATTTATTAGTTTTCGAATTCGACTTGAAATTCGATCGTCAGTGGATGGTAACCTCTGGAAAAATATAAGTATTAAATAATTAAATTATTTTTATTAAAGTAATATTAATAATATTAAAATTATTTTGATATGAATCGTTGCTTCTTGAAAAGAAAACGTGAAATTAATTTATCTCGTCTCGAGGAGAAATCGATATTTAAGAATTCGTTTTGATTAATTAAAAATCGAACAAAAATTCTCCGAGTTTTTTTTTTATCTTGGAACTGTCTCGATGTTTATCATTTATCGTTTATCGGTTTTCGAATTCGATTGAGATTCAATTATCAGTGGATGATAACCTCTGAAATTAAATCATTAAATATCGATACGTGGTATTTCGATATAGATCGAAATTGCTTCTTGGAAAAAATTTTTAGATCCTCCAAGCTCTCTTCATTAATTTATCTCGTCTTTGGAGAGGAAATCGATATTTAAGAACTCGTTCCGATTAATGAGATCGTAAACAGAGACGAATAAACACGTAATCGTATACAATTTCTAAATGTGTATGTCTGTAAATGCGTTTCGATTTAACAGACCCCTTTCCGATTATATTCGATCACTGAACAAACACGATGATATCGATAGAACAAGAATAGATAATAAGATAATAAGAACAATAATACAGGAACAGAAGGGAATAATACAAACACGTATTCACATTTCCCTCGACGAGAATTGTCACCGTGGTGACACCACGCGAGACTCGTCACACGGAATGTACGAGCCTCATTCGATTATCATCCCATGATTGATCGCTTCGACTATAGATAAACGCGTCCCGTGTCGAGTTAATGTCGGATATTATTTAAATGAATTATTAGCCACCATCCATTCGCTCCACGCTCGAGAAGGAGCGCGTTTCAACTTTTGCTTTAGATTTATTCTCCTCGATCGATATTTCTCCCACCACGACTCTATCCCCCTCCCTTCCCCGTGTAGGACACTGCTCCTCTCCCCTCTCCAATCCGAATTCGACGATCAGTTTTAAGTGCAACGTTTCGCGCCACGACTCTATCCCCCTCCTCCCTCCGATGATCTGAATTCGATGATTCAGTTTTAAGTAGAACCTTCGTGAAATTGAAAATGTCGATGAATGATGAAGAAAGAAGAGAAAAAAATGCCAAATATTTTCGAAGAAATATTTGGAAACGAAGAAATAATAGCGAATACGCGAGAGAGAGAGAGAGAGAGAGAGAGAGAGAGAGAGAGAGAGAGAGAGAGAGAGAGAGAGAGAGAGAGAGAGAGAGAGAGAGAGAGAGATCGTTGTTTCTCGTATCCTTCCTCCCTCGCCTCGAGTTGGATCAAAATAAAAATCTATATACCAAGATTTCAAAAAATAAATTCCCCTTTTTTTCTAAAATCTCTAAAATCTGAGTAATCATGATGTTTCGTGATTCCGGATCGTTCACATCATGGGAAAATCGATTCTTCTTGGAGAAAAGATTGGAGACAAAAATTGTAATCGCCTTGCGGGCCGATTAACCTCGTTTTGTTTCTCTGATTTTTCTGTTTTCAGTCGTCCTCGTCGTCGCGAGAGGATAGCTCGAGGGGCGAAGGAGGAAGAGGAAGAGGAGGAGGAGGGGGGAAGAATGGAGGACGGGAGCCGCGAACGGCAACAGCCCCTGCTCCGTTCGATCAACAACGTGCACAGATCGTTCGTTAAGTTCGTGAACAGGACGCTGCACAACGTGGTCCTCTACTGGATCGATTACCAGGGCCAGGCGGTGAGCTACGGCGCCCTGTCGCCGGGCGATTGCCTCGATATCGACACGTTCGTCACCCATCCGTGGATCTTCGTCGACCAGGAGACCAGAGACAGGTAGGCGGAGGCGAGACAAATTCCAAATTCTTCAAACGATCGTTGTCGTTATCGGGGGCCTGGTTTCGATCTCTTTCCAGTTGTGGGGCAGGTTATTTTGTAAGATTAATCAAACATTTCTTCGTTCGAGGACGAAAAAAAAAGGAAATTCTTCGAACCCTTTGCGCTCCAATGACGACTTTCTTAGGCTCGGTTTGACGCGGCGACGATATTTATTTATTCACGTTTGATTCTTTTCAAATATCGCTTCGTGTAAAATAGATTCTTAAGCGTTTTATGTGTAATCTCGTGAAACGTTGAATATAATATGCTATCTATGTTTTCAGCGTTGGTCCGAGAGTTTGATGGTCAGTGGGAATAAAAATATTATTTTTAAAGTTATTGAGTTTTGTAAGCATGATAATGAAATTAGTTTGAGCGAGAATGAGCTTGATTTTTCGTTATTGAATAAAAATTATTTCTATTCGTTATAAGATATATATTATAATTATTATATTAAAATTATATTATATATATATATATATTATTAAAAATATATTACAAGAAATTGAATAGAGAAAAGGAAAATATAATATAAGAAGGTGAATGTGAGAATACGTTATTGGGATATTAATTCAGGATGAGTTTTTCGTTATTAAATAACGAAATTATTTCTATTCGTTAAGAAATCGACGATAGAGAGAAGGAAAATAGAGATATAGTATAAGAAGAATATAGAATGAACGAAAGATAAGAATATAAACTTCAACATATTAAATTTTCTTTCATTATACGTAAAAATACACAAAATATTAGAATATAAAAGTTTCATACGTTGATTCGCGCGTGAAATCATTTTAACAGCGAACAGGTGGGGGAAAGTCCCGTGGAGTTGTTGGTTCAACCGAGCGAGAAAGGCCTGGAGCGCAAAGGTTTAACGTATTCGCGGAGAATCGTTGATACGTAAAAATATCGGTTACACTCTCTTTCCTTCTCTCCCAATCCTGCTCGCTTAAATACCAGTGTTTGACCCTTTGCACTCGAGAGTTGGCTCTCTGCCAACTCGAACAATCTTTGCCATTGGTTCCAGTTTATAAGCAGCGATAGAAATATTATTTTCGATGTTTTTCAATTTCGTAAGCATAGAACGTGGCGATGATTGGTGTTCGAACGATAGAGAGAAGGAAAGCGTGAAGACAGAGATGAGATGTAAAAAGGCGTGAAATAAGAATAATTGCACGGTGAATGAGAGCACACGTTAAGTTGATGTTACGTTAACGCATTGTGTACGGCACTGCTCGCTTTTGAGCGTTCTGAAGAAAAGTATACCATACACTTTTTAACTCACGTTTATAAAATATTCTTAAATATTACTGTTGTATACATTTCTTATACATCTATTTATCATGTAAGCTTTTTTTACATTTCACGCTTCAGAGTGTAATATCTGATTTCGTTCCTTTTTCCATTCGACGAACAGACTTTTATCTATCTTATTTTATCGCTTCGAGTGATTTTAATTCCTCGACTCGTCGATCGAATAAAAAAACGTTAAAACGAGATATCTCGTGACTCGTACGTAATGTGTTAAGAAGGATTATCGTAAGATTAATGATTAATCGAGGACACATTTTGACTTCACAAAATATCACGCGAAACAACGATATATACATAGAGTTTAATAATATTCGATGAATTTTCCTTCTCTATATGTAAAGATACGTCTCGAGGGCAAAGGGTTGATGCGTCCTTATTTCTACCGATTTTCGAAAACTCGAGCGCACTAATATCTATAATAAATAAAACTTAACTCACGCACACACACATATATATAACCGATATTTTCACGCGATTCGAATCAAAATCCCCCCTCCCCGACTCGTTGTTCGTCCGATCGAATCAAATCGAATGGAATAGAGAACGAAAAGAGGGTTGGACGCCGGTTTTTCCAGGTACACGGTGAATCAAAGGGACGTGTTCTTCCCGGAGCCTTGGTTCGCCAGGTATCGCGACCTCCAGCGAAGCGAGCTGCCCCAAAGGCACGAAAGGACCAGCGTGTACATCACGCTGCCCGTGTACACTCTTCGCGAGCTGTCTCTCAGGGCCATCAAGCGACGCCTCACCCACGATCGACAGGCGTTCCAGCTCGATATACCAAGGAGCCTTCAATACGAGCTCGCTACCATGCTTCCACGGAACGAGGACGAGGAGGAACAGGAGCATGAGGAGGAGGAGGAGGACGAGGAGGTGGGGAATGCTCGAAGCTCGTAGCGATCGATCATCAACGGGAAGGGGGGAGGGGTTGGCGAGTCGTCTCGTCTTTCGCCTGGATCCACGTGAGTCCAGTCGTGACTCGAGTCGAGAGATACATATGGGAGAGGAGAGGGGATATTGGTGTCGAAGAGGGAGAAAACGTTTTCTATTGGCTTCTAACTTATCTTGGATGTGGGGCTCAAGGGGAATAGCGTTTTTCAAGTTGTTGTTGGTTTCGATTCGCGATGTACACAGTGGACGATCGTAATGAATTTTAGGAGCGAAAAGACTACGTTTAAAACTTATTTCTTCCTCGTTTGTGTATCATCGAAACAACTATGCTTGTGGATGGTTTTCAAGAAAGAAACTTCCTCCGTTTTTTTATATATATATCGTTGACAGGTTTCTTTTCGATCGAAAACGAGAGTGAAAGGATATATAAAATGGTTTTCAAGATGAAACGAACGTGTGGGATGTCGAAAGAGATTCTGGATACGGATTTGATTCGTATCGAGGATTTTTTTTGTCCCTGCGCCAAACAAACAAACGAAAAAACTGTAAGGGATTTTGAAAATCCCGCGGATTTAGAAAAATGATCAATTGGTCGAGAATCCGTGAACGAGAATATTTTCACGCGGAGGGGTGGGGGATGTCTCGAATTCTCGAGCGTCGCAAAAATCCGGAGGGGGGTGAGGAGGATGAGGAGAGAAAAAAACGGTCGGTTCGATCAGCACGTCGCCGCCCCTGTTTGCCGCGAGAATAAAAAAAAAAAAAAAAAAGAAAAAAGCCGCGATAGTCTGCCTTTTCCCTTTCGAAACCGCGATACGGTGTACATACGGTGTAATATATGTATTTTATCGTTGGAACGTTTTCGAGCTTATCGGGGCGCGTTCTCGAATTCCTCGAGAGCCTGTCCGTCTTCCGTTACGCGAGAGAAAATATTGCCGGTTCGTACATTCTCTCCCCCCCCCCCCAACAAATTTTTGGACTTTAGAAAAAAATATCCCTCGAAACTATATAAAATATAAATATTCTGGCGTTTTTGGCCGATTATTTATAACCAAGCTGAATTATATTCATATATATTCAGATCTTGATGATTTTTTTTTTTGCACGAGTAGAAGAGCGGTTGCAAAGATTTTTCGAAAAGTTATTGGATTAAAGATTTTGTCCAATTCTGATTAGAAGAGAAAACAATGTCGGAATTAATCGAAAGAAAGGATTTATTCGATTTCACGGTTTGTATTTGCGTTTAATGAAACAAGATTAATGTGCGAATAATGCGATCACGCGTTAAAAAGAATCATCGAGATCTTTTTTTCATAAATTTATTTACCCGTCTTCTTTTGACAAATTTTTAAACCACGAGAAAAAAAATATGAGTCCATCTACGACCTGTGATTTACCTATGTTTATTCTCGACAAATTTTACAAATGAACGAGAAAAAAGGGGGAGGAGGGGAAGGGGGAGGGGAGATAATTCGTTCGAATCCTTCGATGAACGGTTCGATTCGCGATTGAATTTTCATCCGGGTTTCGGACAAAACCGAAGTTTCATTTTAGCTGGACAAGTTATCAAACAAGCGTGCAAACATTTGCCCAAAGACTCTTTTGAATATTCGATTTGACGAAAATTGACGTTTCCGCGTGGATGGAATCGGCGAACACGTCGCTTCGGGAGTTATCCTTTTTATCCGTTTCTTCCGTTTCTGTTATAGATCGTTCTGTCGATAATGTTTAATAAACCGCGATGAAAATTTGACAGATCTAATTTCTGTGCATCGATACACGTCCATCCTCCTTCCCCTTAGCCCTAGTTTCTCTCCTTGTTTCGTCCTTCGAAGCCACCATCACCGCGCAATATTTTCAGCAGTTTTTGCTTTCGCGTAGTTAAGATTATAAAAACGAACGAATCGGGCTCCGTTGCCACGTTTAAGCCGGAGAAACGTTGCCGTTTCCTCAGAAATGGCCGGTCATATTTTCGTATATGTGCGTGGATCGCGAACGTTCGCTGTACGTTTCGCTCGCGTTAATTTTTTCAAAGGTGTTTCTTTTCGACGATGAAGGACACACGATACGTAAGTTAACCAACTTGACTTGTAAGTATTTTTATCCGTGAATACCAAGATTATTATTATTATTATTAAACGGCATGAGAACAAAAAAATGGCGATTTATCTTTTCGATTATCCTATCCATCGATCCTTTCGTTCTTAAAAATATTTAAATGGAAGATTTAGAAATTTAAAACAATTCATTTAAAATATATAATTTTTCTATTCGAAATTAAAGACGCTTGCTTATGATAAAAATGATTCGACAATCTTTTATTTCTTTTGTCTCGATGATTCTAACCGTCGATTCTTTCGTTCTCAAAAATATCTTAATCTTGGAGATTTAGAAATTTAAAATAATTTAGAGTATATAATTTTCCCACTTTTAAATTAAAGAAGCTCTTCTTCCGATCGATCCCATCAATTCATTCATTCTCAAAAATTAGAGATTTAGAAATTTAAAATAAATTACAATATATCATTTTTCTACTCTTAAATAAATAAAAACAGCTTGCGCACGACGAAACCGATCCGACGATCTCTTTCTCTCTATTCAATCTTGACTCGACTTATCGACTTCGTAAAAATCCCTCGGACCTACGATTTATCGCTGTTCCTAACTTTCTCCTATTCCACCGATCCGATATAAAGTAAGCAGAAGAAGAAAATAAAGCAAGCTATATCGGAAGCTGAAAAATATCCCAACTGGTCAAGCAGAAGGAAAGGGAGGAACGCTTCGTCTTCTTCATCGATCGAGCGTATCCCTTCTCCAACGAAAATTTCCACCCATGGTTTCGAAATCATTCATTCGCAATCCACCTTTCGTTCCCGCGAAAAAATACAAATCGCGAAATCGTTGAACCGTTCTCTCGAGGATCAAACCACCCACCATCGAACCAAAGCTACCCTAACTTTCCTAAAAAGGAATGCCTCCGTGTGGTGCACACGTGCGTTGATTAACCATTAGCCGAGTTAAACACGCTCCTAATTAGAGCAGACCGCAATAACGCGAGGAATAACAGGAAAGCCTCTGTTTCTGCGGCTCGAGTCATAGAAGATTTCAGTACTTGCTTTATCCTCTCTCTTTCTTTCTCACTGAAATCGTGATTGTGGGGAGGATTTGGATGGATTTTAAGTTGGAAGGAGTTTATGCAATATGACGAATTCGAGATAATTAATAATTTAATACCAAGATTATCGTCTCAGATTTGGCGATCAGTGAAATAAACTTTTGGATTTTCTGATTCTTGTAATCTCTTCGATTACGAGAAAGATATTTAGATTAATATTTTCGATGTTTCTTGGATTATAAAGTGACATATAATTTCAATCGTTCTACGCAAGTGAATATGGAATATTTTAGATTAGATTAGAGGAGGAAATGATCGAAAAAGGATATTTGATATCTCGAAAGAATTTCCTTCGTCGTCTCGCGCGAATTTTAAGAAGAACGAAGCGAGGATACGGATCGACTCGTAGCAAAAGAATTTTTCAATCGCATTGCGACAATGGGCAAACGGAATCGGTGATTCGATCCATGATCAATTAAATTCGAATGGACTCTGGACTCTGGATCGAAACGTGAACCTAACCTGGGATCTTGAACCCACGTGCGCGATATGTGACGAGCCATTTGGGAATCGCGTTTCTTCGAATGGGATTTTTATTTTTATCTCTCGTTTTCAATTTTTTTAAAATTAAAGGGTCTGTCAAAAGGTGAAAAAATTTTTTCTAGTGATGTACAATTTTACAAGAGGGCGGAACGACTATATGTTCTTCATCGAATGATCTTTGAAGTTTTTTTTACGCCAAGCGTGTAATTAAACATGGACGATACAGAGTTGGAAACGAGTATAGTGTAAAGTATATATGGCAGTTTTTAATCGATTCGAACGTGTATGTTGCGATGTTCGATGAGACAATGTTACTTTAATCGTTGATCGCGTTTATGGACCGATGAATTCGTTATTCAACAATACGTATGTACAATTTTTTTTTCTATTTTTTTTTCTCGTCGTACGTAAGCATCTCTCCACGAGAATAAATAGGATTTCATTTACGATTTTATCGGATGAAGAAAGAAAGTTGAATTATATACGTACTCGGGGATTTCTTTTATCTCGCGCAAAATGTAATTTGAGCTTTGTAAAAAAGAAGGATTTACGATCATTTTCTCTTTTGTAATTGTCAATATCGCGCAATAACGATTATTTTTACATAAAAATTCTATTTTACGTGTAAATAGAAACAAAGAAAGAAAAAGGCGATAATACGAGTTTCACAAATATCTCGTCACCCGAGAAACTTCGTCCAGCATCTTTAGAAAACATTCCACACGCGTGGAAAAACAATAAGGAAATTGATCGAAGAAGAGGAGAAAATGATAAAAAAATTTTAATTCAATCGACGCGTTTATTTATAATTTATAATATGTTAATATTTGTATTATAAATACCTAATGATAAACAAATAATTTTAAACATCCTCACAAAAATCAATATCCATGACAGATATGTTCATAAATTATATTATAAACAAAATAATAATATACAGAATATAAACATTAAAAAATACATATATATCTAGGAAATAGATTTTTTTCAATTTAATATTATTTAGATAAAATATTATAACTTTTTTTTTTCTTTTAAAGAAACTTGGCAACATTTCTCATCAACCAAATCTTCAAATCTTCATCTTGAAGTCCGTCAATCTTCCTTTCGTAGTTTTATTATTTTTTAAAGTGGAAAATAATTAACAATTAAGATAAAACACTTTAATCGTTTAATAACACATTAATGGAAATCTACGATTAGGCTACGTATTTATAATACTTTCTTACTTACAAATGTTTTCTGAAACACGTTTATCTAATTCACGTATCATATACACGTAACTTATAATTCTAATCGAAGAATCAAACGTATTGTCAAACGTAAATAATCAAACAAACGTATTTATCAATCTTGGCGAGCTCGATCCACGAGTATCGTAGATATGTCTTTGCTATCCATTCTGAACACTATTTTTTCTCGTCAACTCGAAACAGTTCCTTTCTATCGAGAATCTCAAAAACTCGTTCCCCGACTGAAGAAGCTTCTTGCCCGAAACAACCCGTGCCCTCGTATATTCCGAAAGAAGTTAGGAAAGAAATAAATCCAGAGGAGAGGAGATCAAGAAGTCTCCTCAAACACTCGTCTCGACCTCTTCTTATTTGCCCGTGAAAATACGATTCGTCATTGTTGTTCC